CCCATGACCAGATCAACCAAGGACCAAAACCAACCAACTAGTTAATGGTACCAACAACATAACCCACAAGCAAAACTAAAACTATGGATCAATAGCTCTATCAAGCCAAAACCATAATAGCAACACCAAACCAAAAATGTCTAGTAGCCAACCAGTTCCCAACCCAACAGCCAGGGACTAAGAGCAATCCACTCAAACCCTAGACAACCAAAACTAGAACTAAACCAACAAAAATCCAGCCAAACCAAAAATTGTAGTAGAAATCATTTTGCAAACCATGCAGCCAAAGACTATGAACCAACAAAAAATCACCCAAACTAGAAATTGTAGTAAAAATCATGCTACAAACCATGCAGCCAAAGACCATGAACCAACAAAATAGCTATTCTAACAAAAAACTGTAGTAGAAATCATGATGTAAACCACATAACCATAGAGTATAAACCAACACAACAACCACCTATACCAGAAATTGTAGCAGAAATCATGCTACATACCATGCAACCAAATACTAAATTGTGTGTGTATTGCTAATTTTGGCACAAAGATACCACACATACTATCTAATGATGTATGCACATTAATTACTTACATGTGTTTCAGGAGTGAAATAACTAGCTAACTCTTTGATGGAGTCTTGATTTGATGCCAACTCCATGGAACCTTCAAATGCTTCTCCTTGGATGACCTTGAAGAAGTATTCAAGGAAAGAACTTGATCAAGTGAAGTGCCAATGAAGAACAAGGAGAATTAAGCTCCTTGGATAGAAGAATAAGACCTAGAACTACAAGGAGGATATCTCAAGGTGATTTGGAGAGTACACTCTCCTATGGTGACTTTGGTCTAGAGAGAAAAGGATTCTCAAGAAGAAGAATTTTCTCATTCAGTTTCCAAAGTGTGAGATTACACGTCCAAAAGGAAATATATAGGCTAATGAAGTGTGCTAGGGAAGTTTGGCTAACCTAAGGTTTAATTAAACCATGGTATGGTTAACTAAACCTTAGGCGCCAAAATTTGAATGTTTAAATTCAAATTTTGGTGCCAAACCGGTCACCCCCCATGTGTTACTCCATTTGAATCTTATTTAGCATGAAATTGAGAGTGAATTTCGACCACTCCATGTGCACTCATGCACATGGCCAAAATGCTCTCTAAATGGAATGCTAATGACGTTTAAATTGAGATGCACATGAAACTCTTCTTTAACCTAAATTCAAATTACAATGAAATGAAATTCCTAGACTACTTGGCCAAAATACAAGGCCCAAAAACAAAATACAAGCCCATTGGGCCCAAACCTCTACATGGGCTTTAGGTTATAGCCCAACTAAAAAGAACTATGGGCTTTTCTTTAGCACTGACCCATTTTTCATGTATCCTCTTGGTCATAGCCCTAGTAGTTGAGCCCTTAGCCCATGGGCCTCCATCATCCCCTCCCTCTTGAAGAGGATTTGACCTCAAATCCAAAGAATCCTCCTCTTGATCAACAACCCCTGTAAAATGAGATAAATCAGAAATATTGAAACTAGGGCTAACTCCATACTCAGAAGGAAGATTTAGGACATAGGCATTATTATTGATCTTCTTAAGAACTTGAAAGGGTCCATCTCCTCTAGGACTAAGTTTGGACTTTGTTTTGGATGGAAATCTATCCTTTCTAAGGTGTAGCCAAACCTAATCTCCTTCATTGAAGACAACCTCCTTTTGGCCCTTATTGTTATATTTTGTGTATTTTTCTGTTTGGGATTGAATATGATTATGAACCCTCTCATGCAAATTCTTAACAAATTCAGCCCTAGATGTTCCTTCTTTGTGAATAAAAGAAGCAAAATCGGAAGGGGTAATAAATCCAAGGGAGTGAGAGGATTGAAACCATAGACAATCTCAAAAGGAGACATTTTAGTGGTTTTATGAACCACTCTATTATATGCAAATTCCACATGAGGTAGGTAGTCATCTCATGACTTTTTATTACCTTTGAGAATTGCCCTCAACATAGTTCCAAGAGACCTATTAACTACTTCAGTTTGCCCATCAGTTTGAGGGTGACATGTAGTAGAAAATAGGAGTTTAGTTCCTAGCTACATTCCCTACGTCAAGCATGGAGGAGGAACCCATCAGGTTCTGTCAATTATAAGGCTTTTTTTTTCTGTTCCATAATTTGATCATTAATATCTTGGATTTTTGTCATTTTTGTGCTATTTTCCTTTTCAAATTACAATGTTATTTGCCTTTTCAAATTATGAGTGTTATTTGTTTTTGATGTTCAGATTTGAAATTGGCTTGTTTATGATGTTTTTCATGATCATTAATATGTTTATGTTGATACGTATGTGCATATTATGTAGTTATATATTGTTGATAGTCTAGACCGCAAAAGGATAGGGAAAACAAAGTAGGAATTTCAGGTGATAAAATCTAAACGTGCATACATACACCATAATTTTGCAAACAGATTTTGAATAGATCTATGGATTACTTGCAGACAATCATAAATGATCCATTTATGCTCCACAGTGTCATCTTGGTGTTTGCCAACAAACAGGACCTGGTATGTCTTTTTTGTTACTTTTCGATCTCTATTTTTTTGGCTGAATGACATGACATTTATGGTTATCTTCATAAGTGTGGTTGAACAAAAAAAACGTGTGACTGAACAAAAATCTTTTTCTATTTTTTGGGTAACATTTTCTAGCCCAACAATATTAGAGGCTTGTTATAAGTAAAAGGCCCGATCTTGTTGATTTGGGAATTTTGTTGTCTTTGTGAAGAGCTATTGTTGTTTCTTCTGATTTCCTATATGGTCAGTGAAATCTTGAATGTACCTTAGTATGTTGTTGAGGGTTTTCAAGGTTTTAAAAGAATTCCAGTTAGAATAATAGTTTTTCTTAATGAAATCACTAATTAGTTGATATTTTTCTTTTTTTTCTTTGATCACGATTTGATTCAAAGGGAGGGAGAGGAAGGAAAGATTTTAAGGAAGGGGAGGATAATGATTTTAAAAAAGACGAGACACATCATGTTTGATTCATAAGAATAATCTGATTAATAAATTTACTACTAGATATATAGAATAGGAAAATGTTATTAATTAAGAATAATTTATCTAATTAATGTAAAAGTTCCTCTCTCCTCTGGAATCCTTCAATTTTGGATGAGTCAAAATTGAGTGAGGATAGAGTTTAATCCTGTAACCCCTTTCAAAATCTATAAATAAAAGAGTTCTTTTGAATATATAAACCTTAATCCCCTTCACATCTATTTATTTAGTCAAGTTTTTGTAGTTTACCAAATCACATAATTATTGCATCAAAACACAAACATTAAGAGTTAATCTCCTGCACATGTGTTTACTTAAACAAATTTGTGTAGTTTATCAAGTGATATTGGATACTTACAAGTGCAATTGACATCCTCTTGCAGATTCTATTGCTTCAGATATGTAAGAGGTTATAAAATCATATCAGCATTTCTACTTCTTTTTTTGCAGATTTTATTGCTTTAGGATATGTAAGAGATAATAAAAACATATTCAAAATTTCTACTTCTTTTCCTATAGCTCCAACCTACAAAAAGATAAGGTGTCAACAAATTTGAGTTAGCTATTTTAGTTTTATGATTAGCATTATTTTTCTCTATTGCTGCAGTTTTATATTGCTGTAGTTTTATATTTCACAATTTATATTACATATTGTAATTTACAAGGGGATACTATTAATACAAAGTAAAAAATGCACTACACAGTTACCAGAATCACAGTAATACATAAGCATGTAAAACAGTATATTAATTAGTAATATGCTATGGGGATGTATATATATGATCCATTAAAACTTATGATGCACGGATACGATACGTATCCGATACGACACACACAGAAATTCCAGTTCCATAAATCCTCAACAAATGAGCTTTAACTCTCGAATAAGAACTTTTATAAACCTTTTGACAAAAATTACAAGACCAACTCTTATTTCCTCCCCCTTCTGAACTTTTATCTAATATGCTAACATAACACCAAAGAGGAGCATGATCATCTTGTACAACATCGACAGAAACGAACTTACTTGGAATTTTAGAATTGTTATTAGAATCAGAACCAGAAGCATTTGTTGTTGACATCATAAATAAATAATTTTTATGCTTCTGCAAAAAAAAAAGTATATCTATGTTAAATTGTTAATTGTTAAATAAATCACACAACTTAAAAATTTTAATCACTCTGAAGTATGAATCATAAAAATATAAATTATAAAATATTAAGTAATTTCACAAAAGACACTATAACTTGAAAATATTAAAATAATAAAATAAATATTAAGAAAGATAATTAAAATTAAAATTAAGAAAGATAATTAAAATTAAAATTAAGAAAGATAATTAAAAAAAATATGTATGTAAGATTGAAATTTTATTAGTTTAAAAACTAGAAATTAAAAATTTGTTACAATTTTTTATACATTTTAAAGATGCTAAAAAAGAATTTCACAAATTCTAATTATTATTAATTTACAATTTTATATAAAATTAAAATCTTTTTAAATAAATTATAAAATTAAATATAAAAAAATGGTGAATAATTGTCCTAAACGTGTATAATTACTAAAATAATTATCCATTTTTTAATATTTATAAAATTAATAATTTTATGTTAACATCTTTTATATTTTTAAATAAATTATAAAATTAAATAAAGGTACAAAAAGTACAGTAAAATATAAAAAAGAAAAAAAAGTGAAATGGGAGACTCAAAAATATTTTACTTACATTTTTATTTTTTTAATATTATATGCACCTTTTAATTAATATTTAAATATTTAACTTATTTTAATATTATATTTTAATATTATAATTTTATAAAAAAGTATGTCACTACCGCATGAAAAGGAATACAAGCAACATAAAAAGCAATGCAGTCAAAAAGTCAAAATAGGAAAAAGCAAAAAATTGAAAAGTAGAAAAGGAGGAAAAGCGTCGGTTTCACCCAAACCCAGCCCCCCCTTCCTCCTCCCGAAACACCCCCCCCTCAAAAACAAAAGTCGAGACCAGCATCCTCTGTGCATGACCGGAAGAAAAATGGAGAAAAGGAGATTACCTAGGTCACTGGTGTGCGCCTGTACGGTTATGCGGCTGTCTTCTAACTCCGATCGGTGCCTAAACGCAGCGACAAAAGCTTTGGAATGCACAGTATCTCCCTTGTGTTTTTCTTACTATTTTATACATGATTTTCTAGAATAAATCTGGAAAATATTTCTTCGTTTTTTCTTTTTTTAATAAAATAATTTTGGATACGGTTGAGATACGTATCTTTCACGTATCAAAACGTATCCGTATCGGATACGTATCCGATACGGATACGGGATCAAATATCACGTATCCGTGCTTCGGAGATTAAAACTATAGGAAAATTGTCAAATCATAGATTATCATTAATTAATAGAATATTGATATATGTTAGATCTAACTAAAATTTAAATTGATTTTAATTTTTTTTATCTTTTTATAGTTTTTTATTGTCATAATAAATCAGTGTTGTTAAATAGTCGTTATGGCGGCGCCATAACGGTGCCATAAAGGTATGGCGGCAGCGGCCGCGATCTGTTATGGCTGTTTAGGCTGTGTTTGGCGGGGATCCGCCATTTTGAAGATGGCGGCCGTTACGGCCGTTAAGGCGGGTTAGCCATGGCGGTCCATGGCGTGAATGGCGGACATGGCGCCGTTTTGGGCCATTTTTTTTTTATTTTTCTCGGTTTGGGCCTTTTTTTTTCTTTTTCGGTTTGGGCCCGAGTTTCTTTCCCGGGTTGGGCACCCAACACATAAAATAGGGTTGCAGAAACCCTAATACATAATAGTCTCTCTTCCGTGCAACCCGCGGCTGCTCCGACAAGACCCCCTGCCACCGTCGCCTCCGCCTACCACCATCGTCTCCGACGCAGCTGCCACCGTCGCCTACGATGCGGCCACCACCGTCACTTACGACGTGACTTTCTTCTCCCCCTCCGCGTGCACCATTGTCATGCCACGCTTACCTCCCCACGAGCCACCATCACCTCCGAGCGCGCCACCGTCACCTCCGAGTGTGATGGAAGGTGGCTTAGTTCCATGCACGCCCTTGATCTTGGTTCAACAAGGGAGACTCCAAAAGATGATGAAAAATGAAGGAGATGGTGGCGGAAGCACAAAGGTGAAGGTGAAGAGGGTTTGCTCAAGGTTGTTTCATCCAAGTGTAGGATGAAACCTATTTAGGGTTTTGCTTTTATGGTGGAGATGGGAGGAGGTTAGCCAAAGGCAACCTAGTGCTAAGGAAAAGGTTGGTGTTTAGGGTGATGGAGGTGGCGCACAAGGTGTATGGGAGGTGTTTGGTGGGGTGTTGCTCCTTTTGGCTAGCTCACTTCACTAAGGTTGGTGAAGGCCACCCAAGGTAGGCCAAACTCACTCACTCACGGTGGTGGAAGGAGGAGGAGAAGGGGAGGAGGCCGTGGAGTTCCTAGAGACTAAGGAGAATGACAATGAGGCAAAATGCACACTCAATATCATTAATATCCAAAGTGTCTACAAGGAGCTAGACTAGGGGAATATATAGGAAGGCTTGCATTTAGGGTTGCATTTAGGGTGAGTGGCCGAATTTCACTAGGGAGAAATGCACCCTAAATGAAATGCCAAATGCAACCCTAGATGCTACTTGGTGGCCAAGTTTGGCATCTTTAAGGGTTTAGGTTGGCTACAACAAGGTGCATGATAAGTCCATGCATCCTTGGCCCTCCAATTGGGCCTAAGCCTACCTAACACCAAAAAAATGACCAAACAACACCACTAAGTGTGCGTCACCTCCTTAATGGATGCACCCTAGCCCAATTAAAATCCTAAGCATCTAAATTACCCCAAAATACAAGGGCCAAAAATGGGAAATACAAAGAAATAAATCCTAGGACTAAAATACCCCAAAATACAAGGGTAAAAATGGAATAAAGCAATAAATTCTATACTACTCAAATTAGCCATAGTCATGAACCATGTGATGGGTCTCACATGAAGTGAAGTACCAAGGATGGTCCTCCATCAGAGTGCGCCACCGCTACCTCCAACGAGACTTTCTTCCTCCTGGTACTTCCTCCGCGCGTGATAGATTCTCCCTCCGCAAGCCTCCTCCTTTGAGTTCTGCCATCGCCGTTGCCATTTAATCTTTTTGTTGGTTAGGAATTTATGTTTCTTTATAATGACTATTACTAGATTATGAATGCTATGAATTTTAGATTGTTATATTGTTGGTTTTAATATGTGTTTGTTATTTTTCTGTTTTTGCATCATATTATATATATATATTTTTTATTTTATTTTATTTTATTTTTTTGTCCGCCATGATGTCCGCCATAGACCGCCATGGCATCCGCCATGGCAATATGGCACTTAAAGGTCCTTACCACCATCCGCCGTATAACCTTATTGATAACCTTGTAATAAATACATTTTGTTCTTTTTATAGGTAAAATTTCCTAATGTTTTAGATTAGATAAAACAATTAATGAAGCAAATAGTACAATTGCATCGATTTTTGATATAGAATATCTAAGTAACGGAGTTGTTTTGATACGAGAGAGTAGCTAAATACTATTCAACACTGATAACAAACCTCACCAACTTTCTTATGACTTTATAAAGATTAATATGACTAACCAATTCCATCCAGGCTATATCTAAATCATAATAATCATTTGAATATGGATAAAAAAGAAGAATACCTTGGTGAGTTGGTAATGTCCCCAGCTTTATGCTATAAATTAATAGCTTTTGCAAGAAAGGACTTGTACTCTTCAAAGTAAGGAACTATATATAGATCATGAAAACCTGCTTTGTTATTGGACTGATGAGAATCTAAAATAACTCCACTGTGCCTTTTAATAACACTTTTGACAGCATTCCAATTTTATTCTCATATCTTTTATTTGGTAAAATAGATAAATAAAAAACCTCAGCCTCTCATTAGTAAGTAACCAATTTTCTTGAGCCTTTATGTGCAACCATAAGTGAATCTCAGATTGTGCAGTCAACTCTCTCCTAGTACTTTAAAGCAAACCTATTTTTTTTTGCAGTTTAGTGCTATTTCAAAACACTCCAGTAATCCTCTGAAACTCTGAAAGAATATATGTTTTATAAAGCATAGTGGAAGCTAGCATAAGAAAGTAAAAGCTCAAGACCAAAGCACATCTTCACCTCACAAATAACAGTCTATCAAGAAGAAAGCTTAGAAATATAATATTCATTCTTGTGCCATAAGTATGAATCTATGGACTATGTATTGCAATTTGATTGTGTTCATGAGCTGCTATTGGCCTGAATTTACATGTCTGTTTGGTTAACATCAACACTATACCTCATTAGGTATGTATACCATTGTTTACCCTTAGTTCTTTCTTATAAAAATCTCATTTTCAAACCACCAATGAAAAAATATGATCATTATTATTTTTGAACTATAAATATCATTATGATTTGGATTTAAAATGCTTTGATGATAATCAATGCATGCAGTTAATGATATTGGTTGATGATGCTGGAGGGCAATGGCCAATGATTGGTCATGCGCCATGGAATGGCTGCAATCTTGTAGTTCCAAATTCTTTTGACAACATATGCTTAGCATAATGATACCATTTTTTCCGTTTCTAGTTGGTAGAAATTAGCACCAGCAGATTTCTGCATGGGAAATGCTTCTCTGTATTCCAAAACTTTCCAATCTCTAAATGTCTTAGTTACTTTAGAGAGTAACCTTATTGTTAAATTTGCAGTTGTCAAAAATGCCTCATCTTCATCAAGGCAAGACCTACCAACAATGAATAGATTACACTTATACAACATATTGTTGAATTTGATTGTTTTAAATATTAATTTGTTTTTTTTTGGCTTATTATATGGTTACTATGTGAAGTTTTAAAGTTTTAATTTCTTTGCCTATAGGAATTTTGTCAGAGAAATAAAGAAATTCAAAGCAAGCAAGTTATTCCACACACTGGTGGCTCTAAAGCTAATCCTAGAAGAAGAAATGAGTTGGTAATGACACTAAATGTTAAATTTTACTATTTAAAAAAGTTCAATATTTACTCACTCTTTATTTGTCTTAGTTGTTAGAAATTGGGAAGGTACCAAGTTGTGGACAATTATATATTGAAACTCATAAAAGGAAAGATGGATCATTTGTAAATGATGCAGCAAAGACTATAGTGTTAAATTTTTCTTTAGAAACATTGATTTCAAGGATTGTGTTTAATCTTAAAACTTTTATATTTGATTTTATTACATGTTTGTAGGAACAAATTGAAGTAGGTTTGACTTAAAACAGCAAAGACTATAGTGTTAAATTTTTCTTTGGAAACATTGATTTCAAGGATTGTGTTTAATATATTTGATTTTATTACATGTTTGTAGGAACAAATTGAAGTAGGTTTGACTCAAAGCACAGTTGATGAATATGAAGTTTCTCCTCTAGATGTTGTTGGTAGAGTGTTAGGGCCAGAGCACTCTAGGAGAGTACGATGCATAGGATTGGGTGTTGTTCCTTCTAATACATTTAGGAATACAAGATTTCATGTTTCTAGCTTGAGCTCTTCTTCATCTGGTGTTGCCTTTCCATCTTCAAACCAATAGCAAGAGAAATACAACAATTTAGAATCAGCTTTTAAGGCCTACATGATAATGAAAGAAGGAAGGATTCTTGAAGAGTGATGGAGGCCTATGGGCCAAGGGCCCAACTACTAGGGCTATAGCCAAGAGGATACATGAAGAATGAGTCAGTGCTAAAGAAAAGCCCATAGTTCTTTTTAGTTGGGCTATAACCTAAAGCCCATGTAGATTAGGTTTGGGCCCAATGGGTTTGTATTTTGTTTTTGGGCCTTGTATTTTGCCAAGTAGTCTAGGAATTTCATTTCATTGTAATTTGAATTTAGGTTAAAGAAGAGTTTCATGTGCATCTCAATTTAAATGTCATTAGCATTCCATTTAGAGTGCATTTCGGCCATATGCACTCATGCACATGGAGTGACCGAAATTCACTCTCAAATGCATGCTAAATAACATTCAAATGGAGTAACACATGGGGGTGACCGGTTTGGCACCAAAATTTGAATTTAAACATTCAAATTTTGGCGCCTAAGGTTTAGTTAACCATACCATGGTTTAATTAAACCTTAGGTTAGCCAAACTTTCCTAGCACACTTCATTAGCCTATATATTTCCTTTTGGACGTGTAATCTCACACTTTGGCAATTGAATGAGAAAATTCTTCTTCTTGAGAATCCTTTTCTCTCTAGACCAAAGTCACCATAGGAGAGTGTACTCTCCAAATCACCTTAAGCTATCCTCCTTGTAGTTGTAGGTCTTATTCTTCTATCCAAGGAGCTTAATTCTCCTTGTTCTTCATTGGCACTTCAGTTGATTGAATTCTTTCCTTGAATACTTCTTCAAGGTCATCCAAGGAGAAGCGTTTGAAGGTTCAATGGAGTTGGCATCAAATCAAGACTCCATCAAGTGGTATCTAGAGCTCGGTTTCTTCCTAAGATAAGTCACTAATTCTTTGAGCGATCTATCTTCTTGTCTATATCAAATTGTTTTTTTCATGTCTTGAGTTTGTGCTGTCTAGATCTAGTTCTTTTTCATCTTATTGATAGATCTAGTTTTCATTTTCGGAAAATTTCTATATGGTTCATAGATTGCTCTTATGGATCATAAAATTTCATAAAAATGCTTTAGGATTCATGTGCTTGTGCATTTTCATTTTATTTGAGTCTTCTTAATTTTTTGATTTGAATCGGTCATATGAACAGTATTTGAGTCTTTGATTTTTGAATCTATCCGGTTTTGTCAATAGAAGTCATGTTTAGTCATTTTACTTGTCAAATAACTCTTGTTATGTTTGCTTGATCCAAATTTGTGTGAAGAATGATATGCAATTCTGTTTGACCGATTGATATACACAAGCTTTGGTGCTTTTGATTTTAAATTTTTGAGTTCATGAATCACCATTATATCATTGGTAATTCTCTTTAGAGTTAGGATTCCATTATGTCATTTGGTCATCTACAATTCTTTTGAATTCCGGATTTCAAAATTCTCTTAATTTGAATGATAGTTGCTGAAAATTTGAATTCAAAAGTTTGAACTAGTCTAGACCGTGGCACATGGAGTGTAATTGGTTAAACAAGAAAAGCATGACACATTTTATGTCATTTGAGAACAATTTGTGTTGCATTTGAACATTCAAATTGATTAAAATCTCACAATCCGGTGCCTAGGCTAGAAGTTCTACTGAGACCTACATTTGTATTTCAAAGAAGAAAAAAAAAGGCAACTCCTAAGTATTACAAAAGTGTATAAAAAAAAGAGAAACAAAGAAAAATTATATATATATATATAAAGAGAAGAAAAAAGCCAAATAAAAGTTAAACAAAAAAATTCTTTGAAATTTTCGGTCTCTTGTTAAGTTTTTGAAAATTTGAGCAACTATTGAAAGAAATTGATATTGTGAATTCCTTATTTTTGATTTGTCACTCTATTTTAGAACCATTCCTAAGATATCTCTTGAGTTCTTGCCATTTCTAAATTGCCTTTCATTCTACTTTGTGTCTTTGATTGGCCTTCTTGAGTATCAACTTCTTTGGTTTATTCTTAATCATCTTATTTTTCTCAATGAGGAACAATGTGTGGACTAACCATTCTTGGTAGAAGCTAGTACTACTTGGGTCATCAAAAGGATACTAAGGGAGACTTGTGGAGGCATTCAAATTTGGTGACATTTGGCTAGGGTTCTACTATATAAATCAAACACCATTTTAAACACTTGGAGCTTCTACAATCACAATTCTAGAAAGCTACTCAAGTTGGACGAATTTGGTTCAGCAAGGATCACTTGAATTTTTTTTGTAAAAATTTGGAAAAATAGAGTTTAGAGACAGAATTAGAGACGGAAATTTTCCATCACAAAATTTGTCACTAAATTCGTCGCTAAGTCCGTCTCTAACTCGGTGGCTAATTTCTTTCATTTTCCAAGCCACCTTTGATTCAATTCTACTTTTGTTTTCAATTTTTCTATTGTAATTGATCATTTGGAGTGTCTTGGGAGTGTCTTAGGTACACAACCATCTCTCTATACGACCATATAGCTTGCGCTAGTCTTGGTGAAAGTGATCCTTGAAGGTCTTTGGTACCTATCAAGCTTTCACCCTAGGAACTCGTCTAGTTAGTCTTTATTTTCCAGCAATTTAATTTTTTAATTTGATACTTGTTCGTCTAGATATTTCAGTGTCACAAGGAAAACAAAAATTTTCATTAAAACAAATTGTTTTTTGTGAAGATTAACTACAAGGAGGATTAGTAATTTTTACCTAAAGAGACTTGGTTATTAAGTGGCTCATAGTAGCTCACCTCCCTCCAAGGTTCAATTTGTATACTTAGTCCTCCAAGTACTTAGTCTAAACCTTTCAAAACTCCTTTTCAAAGTTCTTTTATAAAAGAAAAACTTTTGCCTATAATGGAAGATTTTTCTCCTCATCAAAGTGATAGTGATGCAAGTGCCTACAAAGATTTTTCAAAGGTAGCACATGACTTGAAATCACTAAAAATTTGGAGAGAGTAAGTGGCCAAACAAAAGATTAAAGAGAAAATTGAAAGAGAGGCCCAACTTGCAATCTTAGAGGAAGAAATCCAAATTTTGAAGCAAAAGGAAGAAAATTTACAAATGAAGCACCGAAGTAGACATTGAAGTTCTCAATCCCATAATTCAGCCTTAGGGGTATCTATTCATGAGGAGAGCCTAGCCTTAGGTGATCATTACCAACCCCCTCCTAGAAGGACCCATAGGACACCCAAAGTTAGGGAATCCAAAGTGGATCTCCCTTATTTTCATGGAAAAGATGATGTAGAAGGGTATCTTGATTGAGAAATGAAGGTTGAACAAACCTTTGCTTGCCATCAAGTAAGTGAAGAGAGAAAGGTATCTCTTGCCACATTGAGTTTCCAAAGCCACGCCATGTATTGGTGGACATCCCTTGTTAGGGATAGGCGTCTCCATAATGATCCTCCAATTTAATATTGGAATGAGTTGAGGAGTGCATTAAGGAGGAGACACATACTCTTATACTATACTAGGGAGCTTATGAACAAGCTTCAAAGGCTCCAACAAAGACATATGAGTGTTGAAAAGTATAGACAAACTATGGAGCTATATATGATGAGGGCTTGGATTAGAGAAGAAGAAAATATTACCATTGCTAGGTTTTTGAGTGGTCTTAACTTGGAGATAAGAGATAAAGTGGAGCTTTTACCATATAGAGATCTAAATGATCTAGTTCAACTTTGCATCAAGGTTGAACAACAAGTTTTGAGAAAAAATTTCAAGAAGGAAAGCTCTTTTTCATCTTCTTATTACAAGAAAGATCACAAGAGGGAAGGAAATTTTTTTTGAAAAGAAAACAACTTTTGACTCCTCCAAAAACCTAGACAAGGGTAAAGAAAAAGAAAAATACACCTTACACACTAGCACTAAGTCTAGTGAAATAAAATGTTTTAAATGTCTTGGGAGAGGCTACATTGCTTCTCAATGCCCTAATAAAAAGGTTATGATTTTAAGGGGCCAAGACATTTATAGTAGCCAAGATGAAGCTACTACTTTTCCATCTTCAAGTGAAGGTGAAGAGGAAACAAGTGAGGAAGAAAACAGTGAGGCCACTTACCTTATAATGGGGAACTTCTTATGGTGAGAAGGCTCCTCAGTAACCAACCTAGTGATATACATTAACAAAGAGAGAACATATTTCATACAAGATGTAACATTTCAGACAAGGTTTATTCTCTCATTGTCGATAGTGGCTCTGGGTGCAACTGTTGTAGCACTAGAATGGTTGAAAAATTAGGATTAACTACTACACCCCATCCTAAACCTTATCAACTTCATTGGCTCAATGATGATGGGGATATGGTGGTTAATCAACAAGTGGAAATGAATTTTTCTATTGGGAATTATAAAGATAAAGTCAATTGTGATGTAATTCCCATGGAAGCTTGTCATATTTTGTTAGGAAGGCCACGAAAATTTGATAAACAAACAAAACATGATGGCCTTACTAACAAAATAAATTTCACTAGTAAGGGTAAAAAGTTTGTACTTCATCCTCTTTCACCATCACAAGTGGCTGAGGATCAAGTTCAAATGAAGGCTAAACGTGACCAAGAAAGAGAAGTGAAAAAAAAAAGAGAGTAAAAAAAAAACCTAAAAGTTAGGAAACAAGAGGATCCTAGAGACACTAGTGTTCCCTCTCTAGAGATAGTTCAACAAGAAGAGAATCATGTTTCTAAAACCTTGTCAAAAACATCTCTCTTGATTGAACCATCTTCATATGTCCTCATTTGTAGAGGAACACTCACATGCACTGCCACAAATCATGTAGAGACTTCTCTACCTCTTGAAATTCAAAATCTTTTGATGGAGGACCATCCAAGGAGGATGTATACATGAAGGCCATTGGACCGTTGACTAGGTCCATGGTTAGGAAGCTAGAGAAGGCTTCTACAAAGGAGGTGCTTCTTAGACCTTTGCTCTTCATGAGCATTGATTATGATTCCTCTTATTAGTCTCTTGAGTTTCCATTGTACATACTTGTATAGTTGATTTCTTGTACTTTGTATATAGTAGATACTTGTATAGGTATATTTTTGCCTTTGTATTTGAGAGACACTTTATTTCCTTTACTAGCTATTGTATATTGTTTCTAGGTTAGGTTACTTGGACACTTTGACTCCATTTAACCTAATCTAGAAATACACTCTTTTCTTAGTTTTCTAGTAGTAGGATTGGGAGTGGCATTAGTAAGCTAGAGAGTGTCACTAGCAAGCTAGAGAGTGTTACTAGCAATTGGGCCTAGAGGTGGGCCTAGGCAAAATTTTACATATTGGACTCATTTTACTCCTAATTTTTCATATATTTGATTTAGCTAGGTTCCATTCACATTGGATGAACCTAATTAAACCAAATCAAAATTTTTAAAACCGGTTGGAGTAAAATAAAGTCCAAAGAGCCGCCCACCTTGGCTTGTGTTCACAGTGGCCGAATCGCTTGTCTCCTCTCAAGCTTAGAAGCTTGAAGCACAAGCTTCTCCTTAGCTTGCTTATTAAGCAAGCTAAGTGAGTAGCTTGCTCTCCAAGCCTCTAGACCATGGACGGTTAGCTAGACCTTACCACGGTTCCTAGTGAACCATGGTTAAGGCT